TTTCAGGGAGGGGGGTCTAACAGGGTGGGGTGGGTGCTGACTTCAAACAAGAAAAAAAATAAAGTGAGGGTACATTGGTCTTTTTGAGTAAATTTATTCACCAAAAAAGGAAATGGGAAGAATCAAATGGGACGTCTCAAAAAAGGAAAGTGAGAAGAAAGATGTGGGACAGAGGGAGTACTACATTGTAATAGAGTGAATCGCACTAACAAAAACTAAGTGACTCTCTAAACATGCCAGGCATGTATCATTGTTGTTAGTTTTGATGCTCTAAGCCTGTCCTAAAAAAGGCTTATTTCTTGACCTAGCTTAAAGCCTGTTAACAAAAGCAAACAATCATAATAGGGTGCCAAAACTCATCAAACAAATATTGTAAACCTGCAAGAGCCTTATATATGACATGATAGTGTGGATATTTCTATAAATGGTAAAGCGAGAAAAGTTTGGAATTTCTTTTAACTCTTCTATATAGTTTTTACAAAGTACTCCCTCCCTCTCTCTCTTTGTGTGCGTATGTGTGCTGTGTTAAAAATAAATATAAACAGATCAGCTTGTCATACGAAACAGCATCCACGATGGATCTTAGGCCTGACCTATTTAAGTATTAGGAAAACCCAAGATGGGCTTCTTTAGTAAAGAGACCAGGCTGCAAGCCCATCTCACCCATTCCCACAGAAAACTCCAATGAAAGAAATGGTCTATACTATTGACAAGCCACGAGATGCAGTCATGCAGAGAAAGCATATTTATTTGCTTCAATTTAGGTGGAATATACTCAGTCTAGCTGACCCATGATGCCTGGCCTACATTCTTCTTTTTCAAATTTGAGCTTTTATGCTCTTTGATATTCAAGCTCCCTCCAAAATTAATTTGGGCGCATTTAAAAATGAAATTAACTAGTTAGCTGACTAGAAAATGATGTATAGCTGCATATCAAGATCAAATTTATTACTGCAGGGCATAAAGATTAGTTTACTTGTAGAGAGCTGCAAGCCTGATCAGCTCACTGTAATGTCTTGAATAATATTTTGTCTTCTTCCACTCATGCCAGATTGAGGCAAATAAATGAGTTGGTGTATCTTTCAGCAGTTCATCAAGGTTGGGCATAACAACAGCTACTTTATACCTATGAAGCAATCAATGAAAATTTATTATACAGTCATCCAGACTAAGTTGACACAGTATTTCAACATTGGAGATTCTCCTTGGCTTTATAAGTTATATGAGTTTAAGATTCTTACTCATATTTTGATAAAGGTTTTCCTTCACCTTTATTATTTATGAAGTTAGATCCTGATTTCGTAATTTGATAAAGACTATCCTTCATTTATTTTCCCCACCAATCTCGAGTTCTATCAATATCTTTCCAGGTTAACATACTGGAATTATGAATAAAATAAAAATGAAGTGAAAGTGGAAGACAGTTTGTATAACCAAGTGGATAGCAAAAGGGTAATCCAATACATAGAATATAGTAAATGGATGTATAATTCTGGGACATACCCATCCTTCACAAAACCACTGAAGAAATTAAGCTCAAGTGTTTCTGAGAACACAACCACACAAGCATCTGGAAGATGGTAAAGAAGGCTCTCCAGTCCCCTCTGGTGACGAATACTAAACATCCATGGCGGTGAATTCCACACCATAAAAACCCTGCTATTGCATTTCCCCTTCCTGAAAAACAAATCCATAAAATTCATAAAAGAGAGCATCGGATGTAATCCTGGAAAATAGCCCCATCTCTTCCCATCAGCATAAACTTGGTCATTTACCTCACTTCTCACAGAAATACTTTCTTCCATAATTTTCACATTGCTTCCCCCATTCACATCAATCTCTCCATCCCTCTTATTTGATGAGCTGCCAGCATTACCATCCCCAAACCTTTCAATATGTAAATGACTGTTATCTTTTAAACTCCTCCCCTCAGCTCTCAAGATTTCACTACTCCCTGCATCAATTTCAATATCCCTTCCCTTACTCACAATATCTTCTTTCCTTCTAATTAATTCTGATTCAGATTGCAAGGTATTCGTTCTCAAATCATTGTTTACTACGGCTTTCACCATGTCATGTGTACCCAGTACATCATTTTCTGCTGATCTAGATTTTTCTGAATCGGAGACCACTAGAGGCTTTTTTATCAAGAACGGAACATTTTTAAACTCACTCATCAATCCTTTGAGCATAAGCCTATCCCCTCTAGTCAGTCCAGTCACTCCGGATCCATCTGGATCCTGTAACATCGGATTATTATTCGGGTTCAAGCTTTCCAAATTTGACCTAAACATGCTATCCCTCCTCAAGAAATCGCTTTTCTTATCAAACCAGTCTTCCCAACCTTCCCTCAAGGGCGATCCCTTCAATAACAGTGCATCCTCAATGTTCCTTACTTCACTCAATTTCTTCCTCACCTTCTCATCGACTGGCAAATCATCCGAGGCAATGGCGTCCTTAGATTCATCCCTCCCATACCCAAACCCTATCTTCAAGCTCGATTCAAAGTTTACATAATCTTCCCATTCCTCAATCGAGCGCATGTTAAAGGCCCTCCTGACCACGCCAAGTTGATGGTCGTAAAAGTATGTTCTGGACGAGACTTTCGGATTCTGATTGACCTCATCCCCTTCTTCTTCATCGGCCTCTGGATTTTCTTCTTCTTTCACGGTGAGCTGAACTGCGTCATCAAGTTCGTCAATGCGGTCCTCGGAGGAGGAGGAACGGAAATCAGGATCAGCGAGGTCGTCTATGAGAGGGTTGTTGATTAAATCGGCGTCGTAGTGGCTGGCATATGAACGCCGCTGGTGTGAGTGGAAGAAATTGAGGCGAGTGTAGAGAAGGGAGACAGAGAGAAGGAGGAAAACTGCAGCGGCTAGAGCACAGAGTTGAGCTCCGTATCGCGGACGCCGCCGCGACCGCAGGTTGCGGAACATGTTTAGGCGGCGGCGGAGTTCCGAGGAATGTAAACTGTGTCGGAACTTTGAAGCCGGTGAATGAAAATGGAGCCTTTCCCAGATCTGGAAAACCTTGTCACAATAGGCATAATATGAGCTCTGGGACTCTTTTTGAAACTCGCAAATACTCCCTCTTCCGGTACAGGAAAACATGGGAGTGGGAGTTGTAGGGACGGGGAGTGTATTTTGGTTTTGAATTTCAAAAAATGTCTGGATGGGTAAAAGTATGATTTGATGGATAGATTATTTGTAAAAAAGGTATGATGTGATAGGTAGGGTATGAAAAAGTAAGGGGTAAAAGTGACTTTTTAATAGAAATTGGAAGTGTTTTTTAGGACGGATGAAAAAGAAAGGAAAAAGGTTTTCTGGTACGGAGGAAGTAAATTCGAAAAACTAAAAAAACGACATAGGTACGTGTGCGATGCACTATCAGATATTTATTTCAAAATTACTAACTATAGGAGAATCTATAATTATACTTCAAAGGTATCTACCGATATTTTGTGTTAGTGTAATGCGAGTGCAATTTTTTTTAATTGAACTAAAATTTTCTGTCAGTGTAAAACGTTAAAATGTCGGTGTATTTCTTTGGGGTACAATTTAGTTGATAAATAAATGCCACATTTATATGTGATGTCAAGCATATTTTATTTTATCAAATGACTAATGAAAACTTACAAATAAACAAAATTTCTCATGACTGTTCAAAAAGCAAATGTGACAATCATTTTGGAACGAAAGAAATAGGAAGTAATAAAAAAACACTAAAAAAAGTACTTTACTATTGGAGAATCATTTTATCTTGTAGTCTATGATTTCTTTGTTGTAGCTATTGAGGGTTTCTCCCTGCAATTGAAATGATAGTTTCTGTTCATGATTGTTTCTCATTTAGGTAGCGTTTTGTTCGCCTGATCTAATCTGACTTTTTAAAGATCTGATCTAATTGCAATTATAATTAAAGTTATTTCTTATCTGATCTAGTCTAACTTGATTATAATAAGCGTAAGTAATAAGCAAAAAAATTAGTTGAATGAAACGCTGTCTTAATCATGTGCTTTTAAACTCTTACCCCTAATTGATGATCCCTTGCAAAAGCGTAAGGTGGCAAAATTACAGGTGGTGCTGTTTTTTTTCTTCTCGCGAAAGTTGATAAAAAAACTCCACATGTTTATCACATTGCATAGTTTGTTTCAATGAACACACTATGAAGGGGAAGAGTACCGGTGAGAGTTAGATTACTTAGATGCATGGGTCATAACACTTGTTTCAAAGATTTTTTTTAAAATAAATAATATATTTTTTTTTCTCTTGTGCAATGGTTAAATTTAAAATAAATTTTTTACTATTTACAAAATAACTTTCTATTAAAGTTTTTAAGTTGAGTGGCCGCGGAAGCCCCTGCCACTCTTCGATACTTCGTTTTTTTTAATGATTCCTACCCCGCTAATCTCTCGGTAAACCTCCCACCCAGTCTTGACTCTAACAATCCCCCACCCATGTCAATTGCACCCTGCAAGTATAGTTGACTTTAAAGTCAAATTTTTTTTACTTTAAATCAACTAAATTTGCGGGGTGCAATTGACATGAATGGGGGATGGATTGAGGTCGGGACTGGGCGGGATTTATTGGGAGGTTAGCGGGTAGAAATCATCAATTTTTACGAATAGAGCACCGTAAGTATCCGAATCAGAGCCTTGACTTCCGTGGCCACTGAAAAAGAGTGGCCAGAGAACCGGCCCGTAAAGTATTACTCCGTACATCCTAACAATTACAGTGTCTTAGGTATGGTAAGTCTTGCAAAGTTTGAATTTTATCATATACAGTAACATTTATTTACATAGTATTACATCTTACTAATTCTAAACTGAGTACATCTTTGCAGTGAATTGAATGAACCAAGGTAGTGTGGGCTTTTAACTTCATATGGAGTCTGAAACAAAGACTGTTTGGGCAAAAAAACTTTCAAAGAAAAATGCAAAAAATAGTAGAAAATAGGTTAGCTCACTTAGCTGGGAAGCATATATAAGATGAGAGGATCTAAGAATAAACCCAATAGCATTATTGCAAGTTGATACAGCATTATTGTGTGCTTAAAAAGCTTAAATGCCTATAAACATGTTCAACCACTACTGATCATTCTTGCAGCATGCAAGTTACAAAAACACCAAGTGGAGATCTGTGTGTCAACAATCAACTAAATCTGAGCCATCCCTATATCATATCTCAGACCGATCTGTATCATGACGTGCTGATTGCCACAAGGAGGGAGCAATGAATAGAAGCTAAATATGCGGGATTTCGGACCGACCCACAAACAAAGGATACTATACCAACAGGGGAAGTTCCCATATGTAGACCACACCCCCACCTCCTTATGCTACAAAAAACAAAGCCAATTAACCTTCACATAGACAACAGCTGTCATAAGGTTAGTCCTTTGCTTCAGGGCATAATGGCATATGTTACCTTGTACTTTTAAAACTTTCAAGTCCTAGGAAGGTTGCTGACCACATTTTCAGCACCTTGAATATCATCAGAACATACAAAAATATTAATCACTGACCTTAGTACCTTCAAATGTACCAACATCTCGGGTTCAAAAACCGGAGGTACGAATGGAACACTGTGATGCTACCAAGGGTGCAGCTTCGGAGCATTGCACTGCATTCTTAATATCGGGGTCCATAATTGAGATATCTTGCATTTCAGTCCTGTTATTTTCACAATCCAAGCTTGGTTTAACATTAGGATCCTTGTTCTCATGGACAATTGGAAGGAGCACATTGGTTGATACATTATCTAGAGATGTTATATTACCATCCCCGTCCCTATATGATGAGTCTGCCGGAAGATCTGAGCTCTTCTCATGTCCGCTTGCTGGCAGGTCATTGGTACTGTGTTCTTTTTCTATATCGAATTTTGGATCATCATTAGATGTATTATGACAGACACTCTGGTGGTCAGACCTATCAAATGATGTCCCACCAGCTTTCCCAAATAATGGCCTCACCAGCTTTCTGCGTTTGGCAATTTTACATGCAGGTTCCTTGTCAACTTCATCATTAGATGTCTTATGATAGACACTCTGGTGATCAGCCTCATCAAATGTGTCACCAGCTTTCCCAAATAATGGCCTTGCCAGCAATCTGCGTTTGGCAATTTTACATGCAGGTTCCTTGTCAACTTCGTTTACAGAAGGCACCTTCTCCTTGAGAGTCCTATGCTTTGGGGGTTTGACTGGCAGTTCCTTAACCATAGAACTGTCACTAACATGCAACTTTTTCATTATATCACTGCGACGATTGAAATCTACAGCACGAGTCTCTGTTGGTGAATCAGGAGCCACTTTTTGTTCGATAGATTGATGCACATTCCTCTTATCAGTCTTCTTAAGTGATGTGATCATCGAAGGATTGTGATCCGGCTCAACTACATCATGCTTTCCATGGATTGTAACTACATTGTCATCATGGCATTTTACCAATGGTTTGCATCTAATTTTCTTCTTCACGTGGTTTTGGAGCATGTCCATGACATCGTCAACAGATGTGTCCATGACATAACGATCATGACTAGTGACACGATCAGATTCTTTTTCTTTCGGTGGGCACTTGTTAGAAGATAACCGAGAGAAGACACTCTTTCGCATGCATTGTTTGTATCCAGAATCTGAAATCTCAGTTGATATATTACGATGAGTTCCATCATCAATCGCATTTTTTTCAGAAACTACACCACTGTAGAGCAGTCCATCACTTTCTTGCAGTGCAATACAATCTTTGATACCAAGTGACGGCATAGTACTGTTCGAAGCATATGAAGGCTTACTACAAGAATAAAAGGGCAGATGGAGAAATCCTACATTTTCTCCTTGAAGGGCTGCTTCACCTGGGTTCACGGATGGAAAGTCCAGATATGACCTTGAAGCAGGTGGAACTCTATAAGCATCAAGCCCGATATTCTCGGGAAAATCAGAATTTAAATGAGATTCAGAAATCCCTGACTGTATGTGAAGATGTGATCTTTGCCTATGATCAGCAGAAGCGAAGTCTGAATACCCTGTCGAAACACCTGCTTTTTCATGGAATGCAATGTCTTTGGGCAAAGCATCAAGATTCTGTTCCGCAAACCTATGAGAGTTGTTTTTCTGTACTAAACTAGATCCGTGATCCACTTGATGGTACGAAGAGTGTCCACAATGACGAGTAAGCTCATGATCAGATGGTAGAGCTCTTGCAATTGTTGTTGCATTTTGAAATTTTGAAGGAGATGCATCAAAACTTGCTGCTTCTGTTATTCGAGAGAGAGCTGTCTCAAAAAATGACATGCCACAGTTTAGTGGAGTAAATTGCTCCATCTCATTTTGTGAATGGCGATGCATATCCAAATTTTCCACATAAGATACAGCTTTTTCAGCATTGTTGGACCTGTACCAGCCTGCATTAGACAACTGTTCATCAATGTTTTGGTAACAAGTAGACTGTTCATTTGAAGCAGAAGGTGCAACCACATATTCATTAGCATTTTCATGAATTCTATCATTATTCTCCACATAAGATGGAGCTTTCTCAGCATTGTTGTTCCTATACCATCTTGCATTCGCCCATTGATCATCTACATTTTGGTTAAAAAGAGATTGTTTGTTTGAAGGAGGTCCAGGCACATATTCATTAGTGCTTTCATGAACTCTATCAAAATTCTCCACATAAGATGCAGCTTTGGCAACACTGTTGTTCCTGTACCAGTGTGCATTATCCCATTGTTCATCTACATTTTGGCAAAAAGTAGATTCTTTTGAAGCAAGAGGTCCAAGCCCAAATCCATTTGTATTTTCATAAACTCTTCTATCCCTACCAAAAGACTCAACGTACTTTTTTCTCCTCTCAAGAAAGCCTGGACCCACAAAAGTATCTGGACTATGATCTCTTCTATTTGGATCTACTGGAGATCTAGTATCTCCATATAATTCATCTTTGTCACTTACTGTACTTACAAAGTGAGAAGATGTGATCTCAGAAATGGCAGCATATTTCTTAAGATGCTTATTTTCAGAGCTATCATGGATAAATCCATACTGACTACCAGGATTCTCAACTATAGTTCCATAGCCACTTCTCTCGTTACCAGGGACGGTGGGTGAATGAGTGTTGTCCGTGTTAGGGAGCTCTTCAAAACCATCTTTGAGGAGAGACCATCCACCATGTGATGCAAATGCAGAAGTGCAAATGTTCGAAAGTTTCTCATTACCTTTGGTCAACCTGGTCACCCCTAAACCGGAATTGAACGTATCTACTATCCTTTCCCTATCAGTGAACATAGCAACATCGGCTTTTCCAGAAAAATGAGCAGGACCAACAAGACCATTAGAATGCATAACAGATGGAAGATCATTACACTCACCAACTGTATCATCTATCTCAAACCGGCTACCATCAGCTAACCTTTTGTCCTTAATCAGAGGATGATCATTAGGTCTGTTATGTGCAACATGATCAAAAGATATCCTGCCATCATCATATGCTATTCTCCTCGTGGGGGAATCAGTATAGGTATTATTGAAGTATTTCCCTTCTGAAAAACTAACTCCATATTCACTATTGATCATATCCACTTTAAAATGAGTATCACTGTTCATCCTATTATCTTTATGAAAAAAGTTCATTGGATATGCCTTCATTGGTGAGGACTGAAAACTATTTTCTTTGAGATAACCATTACGAAAATCAGGGCTCTCATCATCAACCACACTGCTGTTTTCCACAACTTGTTCCATGTCGACTCTAGTAAACTGCCTAGGGGGTAGACTAGTTCTTAACTTCCTTGTGCTGAACAACATCAGAAGACTGTGAACCTGCAGCGGCAGTAAGATAGTAATAGATAAATTGGAGGGAAAATCCATTTACAGTAAATATAAAATTAATGTAATGCAAGAAATACCAGACCTGGTTCTGAGATAAACCAAAGTTAAACTTCCTTGCAGAATAGTAATTAGCACTAATTGCTCCACGAAATTCAGGTTCAGAAAGTGGACTGCATATCCAAATTGGGGTAAAACGAACCTGGATAGCAGAAGATAAACATAATCATACTGCAACTATGAAAAAAACCTACAATTCCTAACAATAAAAAAGGCTAAATTTCCTTCTTGTGTTGAGTGTTGTGGCTTATGATAATTTATTTATTTCCAACACGCCCATGCACAAATTATACCTGTGCATGATACTTGACACCTGATGAACTAAATGCATGAGATACAATATTCACTCCACCATCTGAGATAGCACGATACACTCCAAATAGCTCCCTCTTTTCATATTCAAATAGGAACAAAACCATTCCGCTTTTAACCTCTTTCACGAAGTTAGCCTGGGACATTGGAAGGCCCAATACTTTCTTCTTGAAGCATTCTCTTTTTGTTGCAATATTCGACATAAAAATAGCACCAAACTCAGGCACACTTCCATGAAACCCATTCTCTTCCTCCGCAAAGTCCATATACAATTGCTAGAAACTGCCAGGAGGATGAGATACAGACAATAGTAGAACAAAATTTTAATACACACAAAAAATAGCCGCAACTGTCCCACCTATTGTAGATTTTTTTATGGAAAAGAGAAAAAACACATACAAAGTGACAACTAGCATATTTTGAGCCAGCCCAGACGGGGCAGAAAAAGCAAGGATTATAATGGAACAAACTTATTCAATTTACCCATCTTAACTCAAAATTAGACAGCCCAAAATCATGTACATATCAATACATAGAAGAACAAACTAGATGTTGTAGAACCCTATAGTCCACCGAGTAAATATCGTGCAGCATAATTTGCAGATGTTAAGTGGCACTCAGAAATCAAATGGAATTACAGCAGCACATTGCTGAGTGAAGGGAACAACTATGGTTTAGCTTTCTATAGCATACAAAATATCATCAACTGATCAATAATACTTTTCATTCCAAAGCAATGACATCCACAAATAATACAACCACCAGTCAAAAGCAAACCAGATTAACTATACAAATGAGTACTGGACATAAAATCATTACAGTGGATGCTTTTCAGAGGATCATATATAGATGTTTTGTGGACAAAAGAAGGTGTATATAGAATCAGCACTATGAAATACAAGCATTATCATATATAAGGCTATGGTTTCAAAATAAAATACATAAGGCTATAAAATCTGCACCTGAATCGTAGCCGTGTCAATGCGATTGCAGAAACCTATCACTGAAACAATAGGACTGAGAACAAATCGTTTAGCACTGAAAATATGATTAGTTCGATTCTATTTTTTTATTTTACAAAAAAAAAACCTAAATTGCAAATGCACTAAACAAACAAAAAAAGGTAAAAGAAAATAAAATTTATAAGATTGAAGTTCCAGACTCCGGATTTGTTCATCGAAACACATGAAACACAATTCCGACACGCGATCTTATTATCTAACTTTGAGGATTTCGGGACAGAGATTGCACGACGGCAGTTATAATTGTTGTTGCTATTGTTAAAGTCGAGATATATAGAGAGACTACGAAGACGGTTGAGAAGAAAAGATAATTACGGCCAGAGAAGTATTGCAGCGGTTGAGAATATAATGTACTCCATAGAAGAAAGAGGTATCTGGAATAGATAAGAAACCTAATAAGGAGTATTACCGAATAATATTACTAGTAAAATAAGGAGTATTACCCTTAAAAAAACAACCTATTTTTAGCCGGACATCAATTCCATACAATATTTCCCGTACATCCGCATTAATATTTTTTTTTAAATAATACTACGTAGAATACTTATTTTCAAATATAACTAAATTTTAAAAAAAATGAGTATTCAATTACTCGAAAATGAGTATTCAGTTAAATGTAAATGAGTATTCACAGCAAATATACAGGGAACATAGTACCACTAGTTGTACAGTGTATATTTTTATTTTTAAAGCCAAACCTGTTCCGTTGACACTGCATTTTTGGAAGGTGTTTAATTTTTAAAATTGATGAGTTTTACTTGTTGGAAAGTGATCGTATGGATTACAACAGACAGGGAAGATAAATGGCCCCGAAAAAAAACTGAAATGGAATATATCCGAATTTATAATTTATTTATATTATCAAAAAAATAAAATAAAATAAAAAGCATCAAATCTTCAATGACCTTGCTTGACGATAGTGAGGAGTTAGTGCACTAAAATGAAGCAGCGAATTGGCACGTGAACAAAATCTACAAAATAGAACACCGTAGAAGGGCAGCGGAGTCGCCGTAGCTGTCTTTAAGGTAATAGGCCCGCCTATCGTAATGGGGAACGTCAGGACCGGCCCCGAAAAATGAAAAAATAAATTTAGCCCGGTCCAAAATCTACATTTTGGGCCCTATTTTATTTTTAAAAAATACGTTTGCTTTAAAATTATTAACAAATTTAAAAATATGGGGTCCTAAAATTTTAAGGGTCCTGTGCGGTTGGCCACTTTGCACACCCTCCGGGCCACCCATGGGGAACGTTGGCACTTTCCTCCCAGAATAAAATCGTTATCGTGTGCGGTGGTTGTACGGACCTCAACCCTAAAACGAGAACGTTGCCGACCAAAAACAGAGAGAATAGAAGAGGACTCTTGGAAAAATTACAAAACCAACCCTCTCAAAATGGAGAATTCTCTTTAATGGAGTGAAAAACTTTTTATTTGCTCCTTTTGTTTCTCATGCATATGACTCCAAAAATGAGTATCAGCCACTTTTAATAGGCTTTTCATTAGGGATGTAATTTGCACTTATAGTCCCAAAATCACAAAATATCAAGTGGTTTTTTTAAAATTACATATCACGGATGTAATATACAGGACTTAGTGTCTTGTATTATCTAAAAATTACATATACAATGAGTCTTGTATATTGTAAAAAAATATACATTATTTACAACACTATAGAAAATTGCAAGTCCAACGGGGTAGTGCAAAAATAAACTATATTGTAAAAAACAAGTCCCACCTTGTATTAGGCTGCATTCCGTTCAACTGATTTGATCTGATTTTTTGAAGTTCTGATCTGATCTAATCTTATCTGATTGGATCTCATATGATCTGATCTGGTGTGATCTGATTGAATATAATCTGATATAATAATAGAAAGACTAATAATAATAATAATAATAATAGAAATAATAATAAAAATAGTAATAATAATAATGATAAGAATAGTAATAATAATAATAACTATAATAATAATAATACTAATAATGGTTATAATAATAATAGATTTAATAATAATAATAGTAATAGTAATAATAACAATAGTAAGAATAAATATAATAATAATAGTAACAATAAGAGTAATAGTAACAATAATAGTGCTTGTAATAATAATAATAATAAAAGTAAAAATATCAATATTATTAATATTAATAGCAATAATAATAGTAATAATAATTATAGTCATAATATTAATAGTAATAGTAATAATAATACTACTAATAATGTTAATAATAATAATAATAGTAATAATTATAATAATACTATTAATATTAATTTTATTTACATCTGGTCTGATCTAGTCTGATTTAATTGGTTCTGATCTGATCTAATTATATTTGATCTGATCAGATCTCATTGGATTCTCATTGGATCTGGTTTGATCAGATTTAAATAAGAATAAGTAATAAGCAGAAAAAATAAGTTGAACGAAACGCTACCTTAGTACATTATATGCTATTCACATCTAGTAAATTTATTTTTTCTAACGGTGGGGTTCTAGTGACACCGGAGTACGGTGCCACTAGCGGTGCCACTGGTATTTTGGGGCACCTCCGGTGTCACTAGAACCCAACCGTTTTTCTAAATATTTATTTGAGTACATTTATATTTAATGTTTCTTAAAAAAACTCAATATGTATACTTTGAAATACATATACAATAAAAATTTTAAATATATAAATATTATCACAAATAAATATTTTAAAAATAGTAAAATACAAAAAAATGTATTATTTAAGAGATATGGTTGGAGTGGCTATGAAAAAATGGATTGCTAAAACACATTTGGTAGTGTAAAATACAATATACAGTCAAAATTTAAAATAGCCATGGCAGATGCTCTAAGGAACCATTTACGAAATTTACTCAATAAAATTTATGTATTTGAAACTACATCTAAAGATTTACAAAACTAAAATCAGTATTATCATATTATTTTATAAAATAAATATCAAAAATATACAAAGTATATACTCCCTCTGTCCTAAAACTTTCTTCTCACTTCCCCTTTTTCTCTGTCTTAAAATTATCTTCTCATTAGAAAAAAAAGATGACAAATGACATTAATACCCTCATGTATTTACACCAATTATCTTCTAACTCTATATTTTGAATGATTGCAAAAAAATACATAAACTTTCAACATTCTTTCATTTGTATATGAACTCTTATTTCACTTCAGTATATGAACTCTTATTTCACTTCAGTATATCAACTTTAATTTGTATCACAAAAATACATAAACTTTCAACATTCTTTCATTTGTTGTCCATTGGTAGTTTCCAAGTCGCCTTCAAGTCACCAAGGGCCAAATTATATACTTGTAATTTTGAGTTCTATGAAATCAAGAGTTTGTGTAATGAACCACCAATGGAATAATGTTAAAAATTTGTGTATTTTCGTGATACTAATAAAAGTTGAAACACCGCGGTGAAATAACGCTGACACTATGTTTGGTTCAAGAAATTTGAGAGAGAAAAGAAAAGAAAATAAGAAAGAAAACATTCTTTTTGTTTGGTTAGAGAGGAGAAGAAAAGAAATGTGAAAGGAAAAGAAAATGGGAAAGCAAAATGTATTATGAGGAAGGAAAATCAAATTCTTCTCGTTTTGGTGAGGAAAATGAGGGAAAATCATTTTCTTTTCTTTTCTTTCAAATTCTTTGAACCAAACATAGTGTGAGAGTTCGTGTACCATTGATGAAATTTATCCTTATTATAATCCACCATTTTTCTTCTTAATAATATTTTCTCTTGTTACAAATACAATCCCCAAGACAATGTGAGTGACAATGGTTTCAACTGTTGATGTACACACGAGATTTTGTTGAATATTGTGCCATTAAAATGTTAGAATGGCAGTGCAGCATGACAAGTTTCACATGTTCTGGAATACAGAAAACACGGACAAGTTTAAAAATACCTCCCACAAGAAATAGCCATTGTTGTAACTTGCACATCTTTCACCATCTTCTAACCAAGGACGTGAGCAACTGCAAATAAAAATTCCATGTTTATGTCAAATCTCTAGTTTTGTTGATTTTATTTTCCGATTCAATACATATAACATCCAAAAAACATGTAATGGTGGTACTTTTGACACCCAACTTTTGTATGAATAATGATAAAATTTGCATATTCTGTTAAAATAGTCTTTTTTTTTTTACTTAAATTTTAAAACATGGCACAACGTGTGAACGGGAATTGATGAAGTGATTGATTGAATGCAATAGGCTATTTATGGAACTGGAAAAATGTTTTAGAATGTTCAATTTTTCTTTGGCAAATATGAATGACAAAAAAGTCATCAAATTTTACACTTCTAACATATAATTGGATATTATAGTTTTCAAATAAAACAAATCTGAACACAATAACAACAACCCACTTGGATCTCGCGCGAGTAGGGTTTGGAGAGGGGGTGTATATGCAAACCTTGCCCCTACTCGAAAGTCGAAAGTAGAGAAGCTTATCACAGAAGGCACATAAAGAAGAGAAGGCACAAAGCACAACGAGGCAAAGAACAAACTAATGTTAACGAATCAAAAGTACTAGCCCAGAGCGCCTACCCAACTACCCTAATCGTAGCTCTCCAAACGCTGATATGTAAGACTATATCCTGAGGTCTACCCCTTCCCATACTCCCAATCCGCACCATAGTTGTTACGGCGGCTAGGCGAGGCTGGGCGCTAGAGTACCTTCCAATCGCCTAGGCGATTAGGCGCCTGCCTAGGCGTCCGCTGGGCGAGTGGGCTATGGCGACCCTAATAATTTTATTGATACTGATGTAAAAGCATATATCATGAAATAATTAATTTTATAGGTATGAAATACATTACTTAGTATATACTTTGTAGAAAACAAGAATAGATAACACATTACTTTAAAAAAATATAAAGTATATGTTCTTAAAAAAATACACAGTCAAAGCCTGTTAAAAAAATTCCGCATGTTTCACTCACAAAAAAATAAAAAATAAAAAAAAGAAACACTTTACTTTGCCTAGTCTGTCGCTAGTCAAAGCCTCAGGGGTTTCCGTCAAAACCGAAGGGTCGCGTACTCGCGTAGATCCGGAGAATTCACTAACGCTGGACAAAACCCTAAGGGATCTCCGTCGATCGCGATCCAATAGATTTACGACCTCACGATCTAAATCACAGATCCGGACAATTCCTATGGATTTCCGATCTTCCTTGCGATTCAGATCTCAAATCGACGCCAAATAGATGCCAAACAGACGCTAAACTGAAGCCTCAGTCGCCCAGGGAAGAAAAGGCTAGGGGACCAATTGGGTGTCCACAATACCTCGCCCAGACGCCTAAGCGTCGCCTAGGCGACGCCTTGATAACTATGATCCGCACTAGGGTGTCAGCAGTCTGCTGCCTCACATCCCCAAACACCCTGAACCTAACTTCCCATAGCAATTTTGATTCGTTGAGTTTGAAGCAATTTTTTTTTAACCTTACAATTTTCGGTTACTAAGGACATCACTTTTCTTTTGTGTATAACTGTACTATATTTAGTAACCAATTACTTTCTGGTAAGTCAGCATAAAATCTCCATTGATAGATGGATGTACACTGTTCTTGTACCTACGATTGTCCTAATACAGGGGAAATCACTGACAGTACCGTCAATTGTCCTAACAAAGCAGATATCACTTACAAGAAGCCAACCTGATAAAAACAAGAAAAAACCATTACCTCAAAGAGCTCAAATGTACTACCGCGCTTATATACATCATTGCACTTCTTCTGATCATCACGGAGGATGCAATAAAAAAGTGTTCTCCACCCAATAAGTAATAGAGCGGTGCTCCCCATGGTGACTCTAATAAAGTTAACTGGTGGTATGTGACCAACAGTTGCAGCTCTTATGATTACACCCAACTGCCAGAAAGGTGTAGCACAAAATGAGTTCCATACGGTTTTTATAAGAGTACTGAAACAAGTTGGACTGACAATTTATCATTAGACCATGTTTCCTTGGGGAAATACAATTTTTGAATTTATAATGCAGTTAGATGGACAGCCAGAGCATTAACAATCAGCAATATTATATATTCAGCACAAACATCTGAGGCTATCAGGGCATGCATTTGTTAATTGTTACGTATAATTTTGCAAGGTGTACATGCTGATTTTACAATATTAATATTGTAATGAGAGATGACTCTAGTCAGTTTCTCAACACATCACCAACGTCTAGTGATATTGTACACACAAGTCAAAAATTATGACGATGAAGTTTTTAGAATCTAGTTATTCCTAGCTAAGAAAGCGTATGACAAGATATGACTACGACATGATTTAAAAAAGAAAAAAAATCATGCAGTAGCTTATAAGAGTGGTACATACTAGCCAGATTGACTATCGTATTACTGGAACGTCAAATATAAGTACTTGATATTTGTTTAAGAGATCGTATAAGGAAGAATAATGGTAAGCGAGGTCAGGCGGATCACAAAATTAAATGGTAGAGATCAAAAGAAATGTCAGATCTGTTTTAGGCAAAGTAGTTAAATGAGTTAACTAAGCCATACAAGGAGATGCAAATGCTAATACAGATTTTACAGGCTGTGGAAGGTGACAGAAGATTCCTCTAGATCAGGATTAGGCTCCACCAAAGATCAAAAATCAGTCAATTCCTATTTGCAACCATTATGGATTAGGTTACAAAGAGTATCTTAGGCAGTGTACTGTGATGTATGGTTTTTAAGGAAGATATTGTGTTTGTGGATGAATCAAAGGAAGAGCTTAATGCTAATTTGGAAATGTGAACACACAAGCTAGACTCATGAGAGTATACGATAAACCTCAGTAAAATTAGGCATTTGGGGTGCGGATTTAGAACAAAAAAGGATAAAAAGCAATAGTACTGTTCTTTTGACACCAAGGTTCGGCCTCATAATATGACACACGAAGCTATTTGATGGCACTTGGTGCTCTGTTAGGCCCCACACTAGGTCCTATCCCCATTT